TATCTATCTATCTATCTATCTATCTATCTATCTATCTATCTATCTATCTATCTATCTATCTATCTACATCTTCTGTTCTCTTTCCCAGACATCCATGAGGAAGGGGGTCAGCGGCCGGTGATGGTCTATGTCCACGGTGGCTCATACACAGAAGGTACTGGTAACATGATGGATGGCAGCGTCCTGGCAAGCTACGGCAACGTCATTGTCATAACCCTCAACTATCGCCTTGGAGTACTGGGTAAAATACTATCTTCTATATCTAATATATCTTCTATATATATTGTATTTGCTTAACACTTCAGCACTTTATGGTAATATGAGTGTATATAACTTTAGTATGTGTCGCTGTATCTCAAAATGAAGCCCTGTGTCCTCAACCTATTCTATATTCCAATCATTTTTCATCCACTTGAGTTTTCCTGTAATGCAGATACCTATATCTTCTTTAAAACTATTGAATATACTGATTGATGAATGGCTCGGGTGCCTTTTAGGAAGGTTTTTAAAGTGCCTGTCTAGGACTTTATTGGAGAACCCCAAGCATGTGGAAGCAATCTATAGCGAAACGATCCACTTTTTAAAATGGCTGTTTTTGTGCTTCAAGTCCATGCTCCACCCTTTGAGCAAGAACAATAGCAGTGCAATTACTGCCAAGGTGCTCTGGGTATTCTGATAATATCACTGCAGTATCACACACCTACTGTACAGTCATTTCCTTTATGTTGGGGGGCTTGACTAAAGGGCGATAAATGGATAAAAAAAGATGAGAAAGAATCATTGGATTCCTTGTTAAAAGCTGAAGAAGCAAAGAGCAGGCAGCGTGAGATGAGGAGATTCGAGTTTAGTCAAAGACAGTGGGCAATCATTAGATCTGGGGTAAACAGTGATGTTTTCTTATAAAATCTCATTCAGTGTTGTTATTTTAATTCAGTTTTATATTTATTTTGCTCTGGGTTGTCAGGTTTTTATTTGGTGACATGTATTTATTATTAAAGAGCTATACAAGTTTTGAGTATTGATGCAATTTACACTATTTACTGCTTTTTTTTTTTTTTTTACTAAACATTTACTTACAGTTTCTTCACATTTACATTATATTCACCATCTGGATTGTTTAATCCTTCACCGAGCTATAAAATGTGAAAACCATTAGTGAGTTGTTTTTCCCAGAGTGCCTTTTTGTTTATTTTGAGTGAAAACGTGTTCAGTATGGGGGTCCCTAGTGGAAATAAACCCCCTGAAGCCAATTTTTTCCACTACTAGCATTGACTCAAATCTGATCCTTTTTACATCCATGACTCTCTGAATCAGTGCTCTTTGAACAGGCAAAATCTGATTCCCTGTGGTTTCTCTAATTTTAGATAGCTATGCAAAGCTCACAGGCTGAATAAATAGAATATCATAGAATCCCGGCATTTAATAGTTTGAGTTATAAATATTATAAAGCCCGAGCAGGGCAAAAGGAGGGTTAAAGCACCCTTTAAAGGCAACATTTACTGTACTACATTGAGGGGCTTGAGTATTGATTTTGGTTTGAGCACAGTATGCCTTCATATTAATTAAGTCAGATGCATGAGCTGCATATCATTCCATTGGCTGGGTTAAATTATGCCCTTGCTCTCATTAGGAGTTGCCTAGTATTTAATAATTCATAGAAATTAATTAAATGTGCCAGCAGGTTAATAAAACATACAGTATGTTTTATAATTAGTTATATGATTTGACCTATTCAGCAATGTTAAAAATGATTTAACCAAATGTCTGTTATTTTAATACACTTCATTATTTGGATTTATGTCACAGAAAGTGAAAATGTGTATGTAAAAATGTAGAAATAATGTATTTAAGTAAGGCTTTTGATAAAATCTAAATTATGAGTCAAATGTGGAGAGCAAAAGTAAAGGAAGAATTCTTAGATCATTTGGTTGCTCCTTCTATTTTAATTATTTAGTGCATTTGTTTTGTTTTCTATCTTTTTTATTAAGTTCATCTAGTTCACAATCATGTGTACACCCACAGCATGTTAATAATGTGTGATAGATGTTTCTCTTTCAGAGGGAAGGCCACTTCTGGTTCTCCTGTAATTAGACAGAGAGTAGACTCGAATAAAGGTTAAAACATTCAACCAAAAAATATTGATTTGAGTTATGAAATCCACGCTGTCTTTAGCGTCTTTTAGAAGCTTTCATTAGATATTGATTTTATAAGATGGCATAAATCTGCATCTGCTTGGGGGGGGAAGCAACTATTCAATTCTGACCTTGGGGATAGAACTAGTTGCTACAGCTGTAATCACCATGTCAAGCTAAACAAAGCCAATCCTACGTGCTCCTCTTTATCTCCGTCTCCATCCTCTGTGTTTACACCACCTCCAATATGATCATCACCATCACCACCAACATCATCATCATCATCATCATCATCCATCATCTCGAGTGTCTTCCTCCTCCTCCTCATCAATGTCATCATAAGTTGGATGTATGAGGTGAGCCCATAGGCTATATGCAAAGCAGTGTAAAATTATCCACAGAATTTATTTTTTGCTAATCTTTATGTAATCCGATGGAATTGAGGCATGTTTTTACGGAAATGTAAAGAACATGAAAAAACTGAAAGCTATACCTAAATCTTACTATGAAAGCACAGTATATAAGAAGTAATTCTGAAACTCTTATTAAGATGGAATTAATGTAATTTTCTTATAATATCCATTTTGTGGGGAAGAAAGGGGAGAAATGTATGCCAAATTGCACGAGTGATGAAATGTATTATTTGAACAGCATCGCCTTTCTTGCTCATTATACTCTTATATGTTCAGAGCCAGCTTGAGGTTCAGAGAAATTAGCTTCTGCAGTAATGAGATATACTGTAGTGGAGTGAGCCATTAGGTTCCTTTGTGTTTACTTAACAACGTCAGCAGTAAAGGGAATAAGGGATAGCTGTGTTTGTAACTGCATGCCTGTGTAGGTTTATGTCTGTGTGTGTGTGTGTGTGTGTGTGTGTGTGTGTGTGTGTGTGTGTGTGTGTGTGTGTGTGTGTGTGTGTGTGAAAGATGATTTTCACTTACATGAATATGGATGTACCTTGTTGATTTGATCCCATTTTAGAGGGATTGTAGGGGAGGCACAGCATTTTTCATTCGTTTTCTCTTCAATTGGGTGATAAACAAGACTCATACATAATTGACTTTAACAGTGGGGGTGCCATGATGTTGGGCTGTCTAACCAATCACCTTCCTGTGTGCTCCTGTGCGTTTGTACATTGTCAGAAGAGGTGTTATTTTCAAAAAGTCAGTAGAAAAAAATTCTTTTGAGCAACTCAGTATTTTTATATTGTTTGCTCAATTCTCTATAGAACGTTTTATTCTGTTCTACCATTTGTAATAAAATCTCTCGCTCTCTGTCTGTCTGTAGGATTTCTTAGTACAGGTGACCAGGCAGCAAAAGGGAACTACGGCTTGCTGGATCAGATCCAGGCTCTGCGCTGGGTGAAGGAGAACATTGCGGCCTTCGGAGGAGACCCAAACAGAGTCACTGTGTTTGGGTCCGGGGCTGGAGCCTCCTGTGTCAGCCTGCTCACCTTGTCTCACTACTCTGAGGGTAAGGAAGAGCCATAGATAAAAACACTAATGTGTGTCTTTAAAATACAGTATATGAGTATATGCAGACAGACCATTGGGCACCTATGTTAGTTGGTAAGTGGGTGGGTGCTGTGAAAGCTATGACATTTAGGGTTATGAAACGTCTCAACGTCTCCAGTGGACCGACACAGCTTTCATTTACTGGTAAGAACGCCTGAATAAACCTTCTGAATAATACAGCCTACCCGTGACTCATATAGCTAAGAGCTGTATTGTTTCAATTTTTTAACTCTTACCTACTTAAATCTGGTGCTTTAACCATGACCTGTCCTCCTATTGAATAATCCATGTCTCTGAGTTCAGTATTTTCTTGCTATGGAAATTCTTGTTCTGTATCTATATATATAAATCAATTGTATAACGCTCCAAATATAAAATCATAATGTTGTGCATTCATGCATATGTGTGTGGGTGCATGTGCATCCATGAATGTATACATGTGTGAGCCTCAGTGTACATGCTTAATAAAGCCTTATTTGTATTCACGTGTGTGTGCTCATGTGTATTTCAGACCTGTTCCACAGAGCCATCATCCAGAGTGGCAGTGCTTTAGCCAGTTGGGCTGTCAACTACCAGCCCAGCAAGTACGCAAGGCAGCTCGGTGAGAGGGTGGGCTGTGGCATCGATGACAGCACCCAACTGGTCGCTTGCCTCCAGGGCCGGAGTTACCGCGAACTTGTGGAGCAGAACATAACGCCGGCCAAATATCACACGGCTTTTGCCCCAGTGATTGATGGAGATGTTATACCAGATGACCCCCAGATTCTGATGGAGCAGGGAGAGTTTCTGAACTATGACGTGATGCTGGGGGTTAATCAGGGCGAGGGCGTGAAGTTTGTTGAGGGCATTGTGGACTCAGAGGACGGTGTCACGGCTGAGGACTTTGACTTTGCTGTGTCAGACTTTGTGGATAGTTTGTATGGATACCCAGAAGGCCGTGATACACTAAGAGAGAGCATAAGGTGAGTGAGCCTGTGAATGTCTGAATGTTTTTATGGAGTAGTTTGAGATTTTGGAAAATACTCTTGTTTGCTTTCTTGCCAAGCGTTAGATGAGAACATTGATACCACTCTCACGTCTGTTTGTTAAATTTGAAGCTACAGTCACAAGATGATTGGCTTAGCTTAAAGACTAGAAACAAAGGGAAACAGCTAGCACCACATACCAGCACCTCTAATGTTAATGAATTAACATGTTATATCTCGTTTCTTTAATCTGTGCAAAAACCAAAGTGTAAAAAGGAAAATTTCTGTTTTTACAGTGGGTTATGTGCTGGACTATTTCTTGGCCAGGAGTAGTGACATCTTCAAATCTTTACTGTGGGGTTGCCAGGCAACCAGCAGAGGCTTGCCAAGAAATAGTCACAGCACATTACTTCTTGCAAAACCACAACTGGATGTTTATATATATATTTTCTTTGGATAAGCATTAATTATAAGAGATATATCCTGTTAATTAGTGAGCTTTAATAATGTTGGTAAGTAGATTTTTTTTTGGACAGAGACAGGCTAGCTTGTCTTGTTAAATGCAAAGTTAAACTAACCCTCTGCTGGATGTAGCTTCAGATTTATTGTCAGCGGTATCAATCCTTTCTTCTAACTCTTGGCAAGAAAGCAAAAAAGCGTATTTCCCAAAATGTCAAACTACAGCCTCAAATGATTGTTGAAAGTGTAAAATATATCTTTGCATACTTTAATAACAATTAAAGATGCGTTAATAGATTGGTTGAAAGATAAATTGACTTGAATTGATTGGCTGATTTCTAAAGGTTCATGTACACGGACTGGGCGGACCGTGACAACGCAGAAACCCGGCGAAAGACTCTGGTTGCGCTATTCACAGACCACCAATGGGTGGCACCAGCAATCGCCACAGCTGACCTCCACGCTCAGTATGGATCCCCCACATACTTCTACTCCTTTTACCACCACTGCCAGAGTGACGCCACGCCGCCCTGGGCTGACTCCGCCCATGGTGATGAGGTAAGATGATGTCACAATGAGGTGTTGCTTTACAGAGATAACATTAGTGACTTTAGTGCTTGTAAGTAGTGGCATAAGACATTATATTAGATATCAAGGACAGGAGTAAAGATATGAAATTTCACAAAAGGTACAGTCTGGTTTTGGTACTTGGCAACAGATGTCTGTCTGAAAGAATATTTACACAATGAATCAAGAGCTCTTGGTTTAGATTACGCTTGAAGTGCTGCTTCATATTGATTTGTTCTAAGTGCTTAATACGTTGAATCAAGCAATCTTCCACAGCATAAAATATTTGAAATGTTCATTGAATTTATATTCCTGCAGGTCTGATGTTGAGGCTGTCTCATCTACATGTTCACTGCTCCAATGATTATTTAGAATGACCTTTGATTTCCATATTTTTTTGTGTAGTTGCACATTTGCTTGTCTGATGTTCAGCACACTATGTGTCTGGATTGCATTTGTAGTCGGTATTTGTGGGGGTGGATTTCATGATTGGGGACGACTTGTCAAACTAAAGATGAATTTACTGACCTGAGTTTAGCTTCACTGCCATTACGCATTATTCCATTTCTGTCTTCACTTGAATGTGGTTATGATCTGACATGATTCAGTTATGGTTCCAGTTACTGTCAAAAGAATAAATGTAATCTGTTGGCTAGAACAGTAAACTATGTGTGTATGTGTTTTTGTAGGTGCCCTATGTGTTCGGCGTGCCCATGGTGGGACCCACTGATCTGTTCAACTGTAACTTCTCCAAGAACGACGTGATGCTGAGTGCTGTAGTCATGACTTACTGGACCAACTTTGCCAAGACTGGGTGAGCTATTAAAATGCAAACTGATGTGAAACGTTGATTTCAGTTTAAAAAACCCACTGAGAAGGGTTTATTTTTTCCCTTTTGCTTGACTGTACTATATAAAGAAAATCAAGAAAACAAGACAAAACAAAGCACAGCTTCAGCATGATTAGGTTCTCTTTATTTTTGCCTTCTTAGACACAGAAAAGCATTTCTAATTTCTGCTATTATTATCTAATCCCCACCTACATGCAGAAAATATGTCATGATAGCAAATGAAAATCGGGCCATTTAATCACATTTTAAAATGTAAAAGAAAATGCACAGCAGTCAGTCGTTCTTCATCTTTTTATACTTGACTCTGCAGAGACGTGGTTTTGGCAACACAGCGTGTTGTTGCTGTAACTGTGGACAGCTCACTCTTGATTTTACAGGAACAAACCTCCTCCAAGCTTGAAATAAGACAGCCAAGACTCAAAGTCTATGGTGTCGGCAAGACAAACAGCAAGTACTTGATGCATTTTCTTTATGTTTGATTTGTTGGACTGATTGATAGTAAACATGGTAGTAGACATGGAGTGTAATTGTCTGGCAGGGTTCACGCAGAGAGAGGACAATCAAAGACACAGAATGATAGGGAAAGGATGCAAGGTTTTGTTTATTAAAATAGCATTATGAAAAGGTATTTGCTAAAATGGATGTAACTATTTTGCATTCGCTAAATACTATTTGGGAATAATGCATTGGTGCCAATGTGTGCAAGAGACAGACCAGCCTGAATCCATTTGTCAAGTTTTTCTATCAAGATAGGAAACATTTCATTAGCATGGAAAAAATGTTTTTCAGAAATATTAAGTTTCATTTGGAAAAGAAATTTAAGCTGAGTGAAGTTGAGATGTTATGATGCATTAGAGGAAAACACTGGAGTTTTATAGCAACAAAAATAATGAGCTCATAGGCAAAGGATATGGTATTATAATGTCTTTTCCTTCAAAAGGTCTCTGATGTCTGACGAGAAGACAGTACTTTAGATACTATCATGAAAGCAGCACTGCAGACTAATTTTGGCAGAGGGTGCACAGGTTCTCTGTCATGTCAAAATCTTGACAAGGCTTTTCTTCTTTGGACCTTGGCTGAGAAAGTTAAAGAACCCCTGCTCTTGAAAAAGTCCTTGAGGAAAGCCGAGGTAATGTCCTAAATAAAAAAGAAAGATTAGCCACTGTTTGATAAATATTCTCCTCTTCTCTTCTCCGCTTCTGCATCCTTTATAGTCATTTATGGTCAAAACTGGTGCAATGAGCTTATTCAATATGCTAAATCAAAATTAAAATGATCTGCCAGTAGCTAAAAAAGCCTCTAGAGATTCAATTAATTAAATTGAAAGGGAAATGATCTGCCAGTAGCTAAGAAAACTACAGTTGTTGAAAGAATCCACGACTTAAAAAACCTGATAGTCCACACTGATAAGAGTACCTTTTATCTGCCCATTCTGACATGATATACATGATAAAAGTAATTGTTGAGGATGGACCCTCTTTCTGCACTGCTCGAAGTGAGTAATTACCAGTAATTAATCCAATCGAGGCTCACTCCACTGAGACCTCTTCAGATTTACAGAGACATCTGCAGTCTAGACCTTGATCTAAATCACCACAGAGCCTTGCTATCTCACAACATACAGAATTAGGACAGCGCTCTCACATAATTTGACTTTGGCTTAGAAAAATGTTGCATTTCTTTTCTTTAACGCATCCAGTTAGCAGTTTCTAGCCCCATAGTCAGTGTTGTCATTACAAACACAGCAAGCTGCAGAGCAAAATCACCTAGGAGGCATGAGAAGATTTCAGTGTGCACTTCAATTATCAGTGGGGAACTTTCTCTGAAGAAACATTTCACTCGGTTGAGAGTGCCTCAGATGGTGATGGAACTCTGCGACAGCTCAATTTAACGGGGAGTATGTGATGCTCCCTGATGTATATTTTGTAAGCCTCTGCGTGGGCGTATAAATCCTCAGCCTGTGTGTGTGTGTGTGTTTGTGTGCCGGTAGGACTTTTACGCAAGCTGCCTTTATGTGCTGTTCATAAGGTGATGATTGACAAGTGAGCACATAGCATGTAACTTGCGAGTCTGTGAAGATGTGCGGATGTTTCATTTACGCCATTTTCGCTGCCGACACAAATAAGCCGGTGAATCAACAAATAAATGCCTGTCTGTCTCTATGTGTCAGGGATGTGATTTTTTAGGAGATTTTCCACTATGCCATACACAAACATCCATCTTTTGATGTTTGTTAGAGGGGCAAATATACACATACTGTTTGAACTGTGCATGAACTGAAATGGTTTGTAAGAGGCATATAAAGTGGACAAAAATCAATCATCTGCAACTAAATCACCTTTGAGCTATGTTTACAGGAAAATAAAACTCGTTTTGTTCTGTACAAATATTTTTTGCCACTTTTTTCTGTTATGTTACTTTGATATTGATTTGAAAGATGTATGCCAGCACTGGTGAAACTGTTGGCCAGCATGAGAGAAACTCACACTCTCAGCGGACAGTAGCCAGCTGAGAAAAAGTCTTCAGCAGCTCCGTAAGGAGTATCTGACATTTGAAAAACTGAAGAGGATGAAATGTTGGTGCATCACAGATGGTAGAACACTGAATCACTGCACTAAAATCCTTCAGTTTTTAGATATAACACTTAAATGTAAATGTTTGAATGGAAACCCTGTATTCTCGGTTGCATTTTTTGCATTTATTGGTTTATTTAATCTTTTGTTGATCATATTAACGATTTGATTTGCTGATATGCTTTTCATCCGTCAAGATTTTCACAGGTGCTGAAGGTTATTTCACTATTGCTGAGTAGATTTTTTTGTTATATATTCCTTGGTTCTTTTTTTGTCCTGTGTATCTTTTTCTATTACAGCTATTTGTAGAACAACAGGTTCAGCAGGGATGAAAAGTAATGTCTTGCCTAACACAAATGATGAATGCCTCCTATTAAAAAAAACTTACATAACCACCAACAACCACACACCACCCATCTAGATGTGAGTAAATAGCTCATTGTTGTTTCACTCTTTCCAGTGACCCAAACCAGCCGGTTCCTCAAGATACCAAGTTCATCCACACTAAACCTAACCGTTTTGAAGAAGTGGCCTGGTCTAAGTACACCCCTAAAGAGCAGCTGTACCTCCACATTGGCCTGAAGCCCCGTGTCAGAGACCACTACCGTGCCACCAAAATCTCCTTCTGGCTCCAGCTGGTCCCTCACTTGCATCATGTCAATGAACTCCTCCAATCGGTGTCCTCCTTCACACATAGTCCCTCTCCGCAGGATGACACTCCTTACTCTTACACTAAGCGTCTGGCCAAAGGTTGGCCACCTAGTAGTACACGTCATCCAAGTTCTCAAGGAGGTACTCCACAGCCGCCAGAGTCTGCTTTAGGTCAAGGTGGAGGGGAGAACGGGGTCCGCGTTCCTAATGAGGACTACTCGACTGAACTCTCGGTGACAATTGCGGTGGGAGCGTCACTTTTGTTTCTTAACATCCTGGCGTTTGCGGCTCTGCTGTACAAGAAAGACAAGAGGCGTCTTGAGCATCGTCGGCCACGTCCACTTCCACCCCCGAGGCGAGACATCACACCTGCGGATGTTGCTGCCCACCTGCAGGGGGAGGGACTGATGTCATTACAGGTGAGTCATGTGTCTTTTGTATTTTTATTGTGCAAGTGTGTGAATTGTTTTTCTGCCAGTGTAGACACTTTGTAGTGTCTCTGTGCTTCTATAGCCACATAATTTTAGGTAATTTTGAAAAGAATCATGCTTATTGTTATAATAATGGCACATATTATTATAAGTTTAAGTAAGATGAAGCCAGTTGAGGTTGTGCGTGTGACTGTCTGAATGAACGCCTTTCATGCCAGTGGAGTAGCTGCCAGTAGAGCACTTCTGCAGAGCACAGCCTGTCATCAGCAGACATTATTAGTGTGAGAGTGCGTGTGCTTGTGTGTGTGTGTGTGTGTCTGTGAGCATGTTTTGATGCATGTGCATGTGTGAGCTATGTCCAATTGCCTGAATTGCTTCCAGTTGCCTCCAATTCATCCACATTTGTGCTCTCTTTTGTGCTCCGTTAGTTGCTCTAAAAATCTCACACAGTAAAATGCTAAATGTCAGGTCTCTTTTATAGCTGACAAATCCTGTTAATTGGCAATTGAACTTCAGTAATGTAGCTCCACATAGCATCTGCTTTTATAATTGTGTTTTATTTATTTTAAATGTCATTTCTTTTCATGTGGTGTTTTGTGCCATTTTGCACACCGGTGGTAGATCTGTTGTGACAAGGAAACATCAAGCATAGTGTTTTTGTGTTAGCATACATGATTGTCATGTACTTTATTTTTGTGTTATATGTAATTCTGGCCAGGAAAAAAACAAAATAGCCCAGAGGATGACATAAAAATCAGTAACTCAGTCAAAAGTGGTTTGTGATGATGGAAAATAGCAGGTGATTTAGCTAGAATTAGATTTGATCTCAGGACTGGAGTAAACCCTTAATTTACTCCAAGAATGTTGACTCTTAATAGATAATTTCACTAATTCCAATGCATAATGGTGGTGATTTTAAAATGATTGCCAGTTTTTTCCCTTTTAACTTTTACATGATTTTCAGACACAATTGTTGTCAACAAATGTTGGCCTGGGCGATCATTAAGTATTATATATTGATTTATCAGTGGATTTAACATTATGAATATAAGATAATAATTCACATGAAAGTGTTTTGTCTGATGAAATGTATAACAGTGGAACAGAAGTTGTTATGTATATATATATACATATATATAGACATTGTAATAATATCGCAGTATTGATTATGGCCATATATTTCAGCCATAATAACTTGAGTGGAGCTGAAACGATTAGTGTATTAATCAGTTGGTCAAGTGACAGAAAAAAAAATCAGCAACTATATTGATAATAGATTAATGGTTTAAAAAAAAGCCTGAATGACAAATGCCAAAACATTGTCTGTTTTCAGCTTCTCAATTATTAGAGGATTTGCTGCTTTGCTGTTTTATTTCACTGTAAAGTTGGTTGGACAAAACATGCAATTGGAAAATTTTACTTTAGGCTTTAGGAAATTGTGATGGATGTTTTTCACTATGTTATAGAATAGGATTAATAATTAATAAAAAAAAAAACAATTGGTAGATTAATTGATAATGAAAATACTCTTCAGTGGCAGCCCTAGATTATTTATTTTTAAGTTTCTTTCCCGTTCTGTCTTTATGTTCCGCTTTAACTCCTTATCGTCCTCTTATCCACCCATCCAATTTTCCAGGTGAAGCAGCTGGAGTGTGATGCAGCATCAGCAGATGAGAGGAACAACGCTCACCACCATCATACACTGGATACACTGGACGCCCTGGATGGCTTGGACACCCAGGACATCTACAGCACACTGGACACCGTGCGCCTCACCTGCCCGCCCGATTACACCCTCACGTTGCGCCGCTCACCTGACGACGTCCCCCTCATGACCTCCCTGACCCCAGGGTCGCTGCCTGTGACCCCTGGGTCACACCCTGTTACCCCGGCGACGCCGATGACTCCCATGACGCCTGGATCAGTGGTGGGGATGAGGATGGGGCATCCACACCAGGGATACACACACCATAGCCCATATAGTAATACACACTTGCCACACACACACATCTCCACGCACACACACTCCACCACGCGTGTATAACCGCAGCAAGATACTTGCACATACAGGGACATAATTACAAGACACACATGCTAACACACACACACTCACACACACACACACACACACACACACACGCACGCACGCACGCACGCACACACACACACACACACACACACACACACACACACACACACACACACACACACGCACACACACACACAGATACACACACACAGACGCATAAAACAAAAGACTTAAATACCTCTACTAATTACCCTGCAGGATTGTTACAGATGGAGTGACAGAAAGACATTTTCAGTAACAGGATGAAAAGACAGACAGCTGTGTGTTGCATGTCGGGGAACTGAAGACAAACTGGATCCCGGGAGATGCAGTTCTATGCATCATTCGCTCATAACCTGGAAGAAGACGAGCCAAGACATCCATCAAACGTCTGAAAGCCTGCTTTGGATATTGAATCCTCTGCTTTTTCTACACCTGAGGAGGAAGAGGAGGAGTACTGTGGCAAAAGGGTCAGTTATGGATCAGTTTACATCTCCTACTGTACCTGCGCTGCACAATGAAGCAGTGCTGGGACTGAGCAGAGCAGATGTAGATGCAGAACTGAGCTAAGAAGTACCACACACAGACTGCTGATGTCAACTTGAACAACCTGTGAAATGTGAATGTAGCATTTTTTTCCATTAAAAGATCAAAGGCCCTATCTGCCAAGGATCAACCTAAGCTGAGGAGAAAAAAAAAAAATTCAGCGAGAGATGGATGTAAAAACAGACAGAGAGGAAGAGGGGATTAAAAAAACAACATTAGCTGAAGGAAAAGTTAGTCAGATGGTGTGAAAGAGATTAAGATTTCATTGAGAGGGATTTAACAGCTGTGAGTGCGAGAAAGATGAAGTGAGATAGAGTGATATGGAAAACACAGGAACGGAAAGTGTGCCAAGAGACAGAAATTAGCTTCAGAAGAAGAAGGGGCCTCTGAAGTGTTGTCAGATTTACTGAAGAATCACTCTAACCAGCTATGTGTTAAACTCTTGTAAATAGAATGGAAAGATACAGATGATATATTATGATTTATAGCATTTACCTGCTCTTGCATTAAAACATGACTTATTTAACCACATTATTGCTTTCATTTCAGATATTACTATATTATTGTATAGATGTCCTGAAGCAAGGCTGGTTGTCTTTTTATCTCACCCACTGTAGTATGTACACAGTACCTTTATTTAAACGCTATATTTGCTATGCACAGTCATTTCAATAATTCTTAACTATGTAAACATCTAGATACCTGTTTAGTAGTTGAAGTATAAGACATTCTTCACAACCATCCTGTCTATTTGTTTGATCATCGGATGATGAGCTAGTACTGTGTAGATAATGCAATATTGGTTTGATGATTGAGCACCAGCCAAAAACCATGACCCCTAACCCTTTCAACCTAATCCCTTCCTGTTTTCCTTTCCCCCCTTGTTCCTAAAATTCTTCTTTAAGGACTTAGCAGTAATTTCCTACTAAACCCAACATTAATTAATGTCTCTGCAGACAGACAGGTGGTGATGATTCAGGGGGGGGGTCACAGCGTGTCCCAAGAAGTCAAGAATGCTTTTTCATATTTGTCTGACCTTTATGTTTAACACCTTACCAGGGGCCCCAGTATTTAAAAGCCCCTGCTTGAACTACCTAATGCTGACTGAAACCTTGTCCCTTTCAAAGCCACCGATTGGAAGAATTTGGCCAAGTTGCATTTCATTATTATAATAATTGTTGAAGCCCTAAAATATCTCCGTAGTGTAGACCCAGATTTTACAGCCCGGGGTTTGTTTTACTACCTGCTACCACACTGTCAATTGTTTGGGTACATATTTGATTAATTAAGGGGAGCGTGGGTGGAGCTGAGGAGGGATGATCACATCATTTGTGTGACAGTTTGACTCGACATTGATGGCAAACACAGCTCCAAACATACCGCCTTTTAAGCCTTAATATCCTCGAGTCTTAATGGAGCAATATTTTTTCAAGTTGCTACCAAGACATGCTTTAGAAGATGTTAAATTAATTATTAAAACCCCAACCAGCATCTTGTAGAAATAATGATTGACTTCATTTCCGAAGAGTTGGAGGTTTTTCTGCTGACTTCTCAGCGAATGCTCGAGGGCGGCAGTAGTTGCTGCTATGTGTCATCATAATAAGATTTGCAGCATTCATAAAATCAATTTCAACCAATTCTTATTGACATACATGTGGCAGAGATGTGGCACTGTCATGGCTGCCACTAAAAATGACAAATGGTCAAACTGTCTATTTGGTTGCTACTGTAAAGATAAAAACCTTATATTCCAATTAAACAACCAACCTCAAACTCCCACACCTTGATTCTAACCGGTAACTCAACCAAACCCCCTAACCCTGATTTAGTATTTTTCCTGTTTTATTTTATCTATCTTACCTTTTCCTGCTCCTTACCTTACCCTAACCTGTCCCTTCCACCCCTGCTCTGCCCCCCTCCCCCTCCCAGCCTCATCTGTGCGACTACATGCAGCTTTGTCACAGTGAGGCCTATTTAACCTCCTCTCATCCTAAGTAACTTCTTCATGAGAAATTTTAGTTAATTGTCAACAGAATACATGAAAAATGAAAGCCGAAGACATTTGTGGATGGCAAGCAAAGAACTTTTACAAAATGATATAAAAATAACATTTAACGGATGTGTTTGATTGACTGAATAATTTTTTTCATATGGGTTTATTGACTCAGCGGATGGCTGGATTGTGTCAAGCATAAAACATTTCTGCTGCATTTTTGAAAAATAAAAATATCAGTATTTTACAATTTATGAGCATTTTAAATGTCTTGTATGTCTTAATTCAAAATATTTATGGTAGTGTTTATAAAAATGTGGAGGGGATGTAGGATGTCAGTGTCAGCGTTATGTATATATAATGATTCCTTACCACAGAATTTGCCAAATGATACACAGCATACTAATGAAATAAGGAGTAAAAGTACTATTACTAAAAAAACATTCTTTTAACTTAGTAAATTCAACTTTGGTTATTGAAAAGTTCCATTTTATTTATAGTATTTTCAAAGAAGCACCTTTAAAGCTCACCAATTAATTAATTAATGTTATATCACATTTATGCGGAATTTTAAAAAAAAGTGGTTTTACGGGCAGTGATGTGCTGAACTATTTCTTGGCTGGGAGCAGTGACTCATGGTGACGACCACACTTGATCACTGCACTTGAACATTAAATAGTTTCAACTATATAGAAATATAATATCTGTGAAGTCACATTTTTACTCTTTGGTTTTGCATATTGTGATATAACATGTTAATTACTGAACCACTAGAAGTACTGGTAGGCAGACTGTTTAACCTTTAAACAGAGTCAAACTAGCTGTTTCCACGATTTCATGCTAAGCCAAGCTAACCAGCGGGTGGAGGTAGCTTTATATTTAGCGTACAGTGAGTGGTATCGATCTTCTTATCTGACTCTCTGCAAGAAAGCTTATTCCTCAAATTAATTCTATATGGATTATATTTAGCTCTGCTTTATAGTGCATATGTGGTACAATTACTGAAGTCACTACTGCAGCAAAATAGGAAGATATTACTATAAATCATCATGGAACCAGCAGCCCCTGCCAGCTGGCCAAGGAGACCCTGTGAGATGTGAAAGAACCAAATTCATGGCTGACTTCCAGACCAGATTGATGTCTCCTACACTGTGTCCCTGCTCTAATCCTATTAACTAGATATAAGTGCAGTTAATTTGATTTATGGCAGACAACACATTAGAAAGCACGAGTTCAAGTCATGACCAGGTGTTTTTTTGTTTGCCGTCAACATGTGCAGAAAGCGACCCGAGAAGCCAGTTGCTCAGAACTGAAAAATCACTCTAACATTGCCATTTCAATTTAGAACCACTGCCTACGTGGCGGACTAACTTGGACACAGAAACACATTTTCCCACAGCTTAATTAACATCTTATATTTTGTTTCTTGGCTTTTGCTTGAATGGTGGAAAGGTAATTTCTGCAGGATATTTTTAACTTTTGAACAACAGAAGTGGAAAACTCTGTCTGCCAAGTTGAGCCCAGAAATGATGTGTGTACCAAGATGGGTCCAGATGGTGGGGATTGGAACATTTTCACAGATACCTGACTAATATTTAAAAACTACCTATGAAGCATCTGGAGACTATTTCAAGATAATATTTGGCTGTGTTTGATAACTCCTACGTCTCAAGCATTTAGTGTTTAAGTGTTAGCTAATTGAATACCTGTCAGATTTAAATTCCAACTTGAAGTGTTGCTTTTTTTCCCAAATCCAAATGCAAATCTTCAGTGGAGAGTTCAGTGTCTCGCGTGTGAACTGCTGTAAACAGCCAGTGAGTCCATGCTCATTTTTTGGAGACAATGGCCATTGTGACAACTTGTCTGGGCACCCTGCATGTCACTTAGTGCAGATGAAATTAGCTTTAAGCACAAACAGAGCAGGGAGTCACGACACGTTCTGAATGAGATGTTTTAACCACTTGATTTAACAAAGAGTCTACAGCCACGTTAGAGGCTCTGTGAGGCTGCATTTAGGCACAGTGATGCTTGGGGTTAAATGAAAACATTCTCACATGCTTACAGTGACAATGCTAACATGCTAATATTTAACAAGTATAATGTTCACCATCTGTGGTGTGTTGGTGTGCTAACATCAATTAAAGTACAGCTGAAGTGGAAGAATATGTTATTAGGTATTTGCCAAAGAATTTTGACACAATGAGATAAAAAGAGAAAGATAAAAAGTCAGGGGGCCACTTTTCATCCTGCAGGGGAACATGAATGTAAACATTTCATGGCAATCCATTCGAAGTGGTGAACCGACAGACAGTGCCATTACTAGAACCGCTGCTGGTTTCATTAAAATTAACACAGAATCTTCTGGCTTTTGATCTGAGCAAATTATCCTTGCTTATGTTGCATCCCACAGTGTGAAAGACTGTGACAATGTCAACTCCTCCTGCTTTTTTTCTTTATAGGGGAATGGAGGGAATGAGTAGGGAGGGCAGGAGGAGGATGAAGCTGAAAAAAAGGAGTTGAGCAAGGAATTATTGAAAGAGGAGTGGAAGTGAGGGATGCCTGATGAATGATAATGGGACATGGAGAGGAGGAGTGAATGAGATAATGTAAAGGAGAGTAAATAAAGGATGCTTGGAAGGAGGAGAGGAGAGGAGGGTAACAGATAAGGGGAACTCATTAAGGAATGGGACACAGCCTGTTGGTTGTTTACTGGCTGGCAGGTTCATTGTACTTAATCACTCCTGCCAAGACGCACACACACACACACACACACACACACACACACACACACACACACACACACACACACACACACATGCAAATGTATGCTCGAACATACACTCACATTTTGGTGCATGTCTGCCGTTACTGATACAAACACACCGCACATATTCATGCATGCCTGCTCATGCCCACTCAGTGCATGCACACACACACACACACACACACACACACACACACACACACACACACACTATACTGCGAGCCTCATAGCAACTTGAGTCACTGAATCATTTTCTCTGTGGCCTTCATCACTCTCTTTCTCTCTCACTATTACACTATCCTCCTCTTATCTCTTCACACTTCCTTTTGCCTCCCTCTCATCTTCTCCTTTTGTTTTTTCTTTTAGATTTATATATCTCGTCTTTCTTTCTCTTCCTCCGTGCTATCCTCCTGTTGGTCTCCTCACTATCACAATCTTTCCTCCCATTCCTTCGTCACCCCCACCCCCCTCCTCTCCTTTGTCTGGATGAGTTCCCTCTTATCTAACAACCTTGAGATGATCTTCAAAGCGTCATTGTAGCCGAGCATGTGAGGTCACAGCGTCTTCAGCCTCTCTTCTCCTCTTTTCTCATCTGCCTGAGTCTCTCTCATTCCACTCCTCTCCACTGCACTTTACTACTCTTATTTTTTGGCTCTCCTTCTTCCAATCTAATCTGCCCTCCTCCTCCTCCTCCTCCTCCTCCTCCTCCTCCTCCCTCTCTCTCTTTCATCTCACACTCGATTTCTCTCCTCCTCTCCTACATCTATCTCTACCTCATCTGGCCTCATCTCCTCTCGTCTGATCTTCACTCCATCTCTGCTTCGTGCCTCCCTTTCTCCTACTATCTTCTCCTTTCCTGCTTCCAATTTTCCTCTCTATGTCTCTCTTTCCCCTCCCCCCTCCTCTCACTGCTCTCTCCCCTCCTCTTTTTGCCCAACTCATTTACTTCCCTCCGTTCTCTTTTCATCCCTGTTTTCTTCACTCCCTCCTCAACTAAAAAGCTGTGAAAAGAGGTGATACAATGTCCCTTTGTTGTGTGTGTATACATACCTGTTTTTGTATATGTCTGGATTTTTTAGTGTGCTGTTGTGGGGATGTTACACGCCTAACTGTCTTTCAGGCAGCAGAGAGCCCTGCAGTGTTTTTCGCTCTCTAATTAATTAAGCGTAGGTTGCTCTAGTCTGTTTATTGCTTGTCTGTTTCACTTGCTTTTTGCCTGTTGACCATCTGTCTCTCTCTCACCTCTGCGTTGCCATTATGGATCAGTCTGTCTACCTGTTTATCCATCAGCTACATCTATCCGTCTCTCTGTCTGCTGTCTCGGCTGTCTAACCCCCCCCCCTTTATCTTTCTGTCTGCCTGTCTCTCTTTCTGATTGCATGCCCCGCCCCGTCAGACTTCTCTCTGTGGGAGAATTGCTACATAACTCAGTCTTCTCTGATTCTTTTCATAAGGGAGCGTAAACAACAGCAGTAACCCAGTTGGTCCAGCTGAGGTCAGCATTGTTCCTGATAAATAAAGAGGAGAAAAAAATGCCTTGAGGAGATAGTTTAGGGCAAAGTTTCACTCTTTAAAAACCCTAATCTGTTTATTTCAGAGTGTAATAATTATTTGATAGGAGGGTCTCCTCAGAGGAAAAAGGGAAAGAAAGGGAAAGTAGCTTTTCATCATGTGCGCTGTTTCTTTAGAAAGCAGCTTGGTCACTGTTACAGGAGAATCATACCACACCTTTTGGATACACAGGATACATGTTTTGTGAAGCAGTCATGTCTGAAAATTATAGGAATGACTAATTATAATAATCAGTTAAAAACAACAATTAGTAGAGTCAAGAGAATCAAACATGTATAAACATTTTCATTTTTCAACATGTTGGCTCTCATTAAATACTTCTACTATCCCTCAATATTCTTTATTTCCCTCAGAAAGGATTGAGGAGAGTGTGTGTGCCATTCCCAGGCTTTGCTGCTGCTTGACAGTGCTGTGTGTGTCTGTGTGGGTGTCTGTGTGGGTGTGTACCATTCACATGGACCATCCCTGTCTACTCTCTGTGAGTGTGTATGCGTGTGGGTGTCTGTGTGGGTGTGCACTGCCCTCAAGTAGAGAGAGTGCGATAGACAGATGAAAAAAAGTGTGTGTGTGTGTGTGTGTGTGTGTGTGTGTGTGTGTGGGTGTTATTGTTGGCCTGTGATATCGCTCAGACAGGAAGGAAGTTTGGCTTTTCAGCATTGACTTTCCTCACTGCAAAAACTCTCTTACCAAACACACACATGCACGCACACACACACCTACACACACAGAGTAGTAGGTCCACTACCCATGGTGTGAACTGTCTGTGATTCTATGAAGATAAAATCTGATAATCTCACACCCTGCAGCCTCTCTGGTTGTTCCTTTGCAGGCAGAAAGCTAAATTCAGTTTTATTTGCTTTCAGTCACTTTAATTCCTTACAGGTTCTCATGCTGCTGCTTTAAGCCATGATGTCACCC